CAGCATGTCCGCAAAGCCACACAAGGCCAGTCAGTGAGACCAGGCCCCCGATTCTCCATCCTTGTCCTATAGCTCCTCTGTGCCTCCCTCTTGCGGCCTCTGCGGCCCCATGTGCAGCCTCCTTTCCTCCTCAGGGCCTTTGCATATTCTGTTTGTTTGTTTTTTTTGTTTTTGTTAGGGACAAACTGCCTCAGAAATCCCCCTCCTCGTAAGCTGACGCCTTCCCCCCACTCTGATTGCTCTGCAGCTGCATTTCTGAACTCCCACCTAGGCACCACATCAAGGCTGCCAGTGATTACGGCCAACCGGGCAGCTCGGGGGAGGACAGGAAAACATAAGTTGTTTATTCATACTTGTAAATTCCCGTTTGACACATATCTGTAAAAAATCCTGGTTGCTCTCTTTTTTTTTTAAAACTGCCGCCACAAAAGTCACAGGATGATGTATAGTAGGTCTGTTACAAGTTGACACACTATCTCTGTGTCTGTTACAAGCTGATAGATTATCTCAGTCCTGAAACTCCCTTATGCTCCTCTCACCCCATATAAACCCCTCGCTTTATAAACTCGGGGCTGCCTCCTCTGACTGTTACGAGGCAGCCCGGCCGGTTAATAAAACATGCTCCCCGAACTCTGAGGCTGCGGTGAGCCATGGCTGGACCACTGCAATCCAGCCTGGGCTACAGAGCAAGCCCTAACTACAAAAAAAAAAAAAAAAAAAAAAAAAAAAAAAAAAAACGAGAGAGAGAGAGAAACTCTCCAGGCAGTTCTGGTGTATTCTTCACATCTCTCTAACATCTGCTAATCTCCTTTTTTGACAAAGAGCCAACAGGACTCAAGCTCAGAGCCTTCCATAGTAAACAGTCTCAGCTGGGCACGGTGGCTCACGCCTGTAATCCCAGCACTTTGGAAGGCCAAGGTGGATGGATCACCTGAGGTCAGGAATTTAAGACCAGCCTGGCCAACATGGCAAAATCCCATCTCTACTAAAAAACACAAAATTAGCCAGGCATGGTGGTGGGCACCTATAATCTCAGCTACTTGGGAGGCTGAGGCAGGAGGATCACTTGAACCCAGGAGGCGGAGATTGCAGTGATCTGAGATCGCGCCATTGCCACTGCACTCCAGCCCGGGCAACAGAGCGAGATTCTGTCTCAAAAAAAAGAAAAGAAAAGAAAACACTCTCGAGTTAGGATTTGATGACATTTCTGTTTTGAGTTTTTATTTTTCTACCTTTTTTCTTAACCTTGTACATACAAGAAATAATTCTAGTTTTCTACTTGTGATGATGTGAAGTTTTGTTTCAATAGAAGGGGAAAATGATGTTGATTTAAAGAATAACAAAGTAGGCCGGGCGCGGTGGCTCAAGCCTGTAATCCCAGCACTTCGGGAGGCCAAGGCGGGGGGATCACGAGGTCAAGAGATCGAGACCATCCTGGTCAACATGGTGAAACCCCGTCTCTACTAAAGCTACAAAAAAATTAGCTGGGCATGGTGGTGGGTGCCTATAATCCCAGCTACTCAGGAGGCTGAGGCAGGAGAATTGCCTGAACCCAGGAGGCGGAGGTTGCGGTGAGCCGAGAT